ACCCCAACAAGCCACCAACAAAAACGCTGCCCTGTCCTGAGCGGTGTTGAGTCAGGGGCCAATCTCAGGGGGGGCACATGGCCCCCCATGCCTCTCCTACCAGTCGCCTGTGGTTTGGTTAATATATCTTGCAGTTTTCCCAAAAGACAGACAGCAGACAATTATCCCTTGAAATATGAATTTTGATATTCTATCTATAGGCATTGCCTACCTTCGTTCAATTTAACTAGTCCCACTTACCAGGTCTTAGACGTATTGGATGAAATCACAGCTCCATGTAAACTATAATTTACTGTTAAATTAAGGAGACAGGTACATATAATTATTATTATTTTACAGCAACACTTAAGAAAATGATTGGTAGTTATATTAAGTAGCAGTCCAACAGAGAGTGGTAGACAACAAAGCCAAGTTATTTGTTCAGGAAAACATTTATTTTTCCAGAAAGTGCAGCTTAGGGACAATTCTAGGGTAATATTCACTTCATAATTCAAGATAAAATCAACCAAACAAAAACAATATAAAACAAAATGACACTTTTCATTAATTTCAACATTTGTGAGATTAAATATTTTGATTTTTTGGGGGGAGGGGTTATATTCAGAGGGGAGTTAAGAAACTTAGTATTTTTTTCTTGCATTGTTTGTTACAATGTGTGGATCTCCATATGCTGGTGTTTTTGAACTTCAGCTTTGCGTTCTTCATGTCTCGCTGCCTTATGTGTCCATAAGTATTTTGAATGTTCTATCCTGTCCAAAGTATCAGAACATCACGTTGCTCTGGGCTGGATGAAAAGACTAAAAACTTTCACAGGGTTAATTCTGGCGTGGTTTCCCTGCAGCTAGGCATCTAGAAGCTGAGCTACGCAGTAGCCTGCTAGGAGGACTGTCAGGGAATGTTTTACTAAAGAAAAAATAAAAACTATTTGGGAAAACTGATTTTTTTTCCTCCCCCCCCCACAGAAAGGTGAAATATTGCACAAATGGCCTACAGTATACTGGACCACAAATGAAACCCAAAGTGGAAGAAAGTCATCTTCATCCCCACCAAACTATAGACGCTTGTTAGAAGACACTTGACTAAGATGGCTTGGTCAGGGATGATCCTACTTTGACCAGGGGGCTGGACTGGATAGCCTCATGAGGTCCCTTCTATCCCCACTTACCTATAGATTTCCTAGATTTCACAGACATTAGGGATGGAAGAGTCTTCGGAAGATCATCGAGTCCAGCCCCCCGCCCAAAGGCCA